TGAACATTCTAGCTGCATTATCACTACTGGCTACTAGAATTCTGCCAGGCTGACCAGCATAGGAAAATGTAATGGAAAAAGTGAGCAGGACTTGGAGTCAAAAGCTTCAGGTCGTATTTCTGGCTCTTGGGCCACTCCTCCAAGTCTCCACTCTGTTAAACAAGTTAGCTAGACAAGACAATCTCTAAAGAGCCTTTCCAAACCAAGGATTTCAGACCAGGATAAGAGTTGTAGGAATGGAAAAGGATAAATATGGAACCCTTAGGGAAGAACTACTAAGATTTAAGAACTGGCTAGATATGCAGAGTGATAGAAAACAATGAGTCAACTATGAACGCAAAGTTTTAAGCTTTGGATGACTCAAGATTTAAATAAAACAAGGAGCATGTTGACCCAATAGATATTATTTAATAAATCTGTAGGTTCTCCATGGAAATTAATACTCATGACCTTCTAGATCAAAATGTCAACCAATACATTTTAAATGTATCCAAAAACTCAAATGTTTTCTCACAGGATTGTTTCAATGTTGTGTTAAAATGAAATCCCTTTGGATAATTATAATTACAAATAATCATATTTAGTATATTTTTAAATGTTCATTCTAAAGTATCAAATTTATAGGAAAAAATCCATATATTCATCAGTCACCAAGAGATCAATCTCTTGAACAACTGTTTCAATGTGGAAAAAGTCTAACCCCAGAATCACATAGCCGCCTGCAGATGTCATAGAAGAACTTGCTGATAGAACATCTTAACCTGTTTTCTCTTAGAAAATGACTCCATGGGCCGGGGATTTAGCTCAATGGTTCCACTGCCTGCCTCATAAGCGCAGGGTCCTGAGTTCAATCCCCAGTACTTAAAAAAAAAAAAAAAAAGAAAATGACTTCATGACGGGTAGGGGATGTAGCTCCATGGGGGAAAACTTGCCCAAGATATAAGAAAGGCCTTAGTATGGAGGGAAAAAAGTAGAAAAAGAAAATGATTTCATGAGTTCATCTCCAAATAGGTGAACTCTCAATATTACATCTCAGGCACTATATGGAACACATTTTCAGTATCAAATCAGACAATAAATTGTTGTGCACCTTTAAGTAGTCTCCAGAGAACTGTGGTTTCATGTACTGTGACATTCAAAAGAATGCCTTATTATATTGTGCTGAGGAACATATTTTTCAAGATTCTAACTTACTCTTTTCATAGATGAGATCAACCCTGCAGAATTATGCTGACATTCCCATATGCTACAGTTCACTATATTATACTGATGTTAACATTCCTGGACAAAAATACAGATCATAGTTGCTCATAAAATCCTCTACTTATAGACTGAAAGAAAATCCTGCCAACTTTCTGATGATCCTTCAAGGGCAACATTTCAAATATAATACCCTTTGCTGGACACTGAACAGTATTTCAGTTATAACTGACTGGTCAACATTTGAGTCAAATTCCAGAACAAAACATTTAAAAAATATAATTGATTATGAAATAGTACAGTTTAATACTATCTACAGACCTATTCAGACACGGTCAACATATCTAATTATGTCTACTCACCAATTTATGACTAGATAAAATGAAAAATGTTGATTAGCCTAGAACAGCAATATAAAAAATTCTTAGTTGCAAGGCAAAGCAAACAATATGTTGAAATATGCTGCGAGAAGAGCTGAGGCCATCTGGGGCAGGAGTCAATTACTATCATATTTTCCAGACATCTAAGTTAACCTTTTTTATTTTATAACTGCATTTTGATTCTTAGAATAAAATTTTCCCTAAAACATAACATCTGATTCCTGCCTTTTAAAAAAATACATGAAGATGTTTTTCCTTTCTCTTCTTAATATATAAGGGTCATTGTTACAAAGATTAGCCAGAAGATATGGTAAAGATGTGACCATAAGTGCAGATTTATAGTATATAATATGGTTCAAAAACCAATTTTTTAACAGAAAGTATAATGAATAATCATAGGTAATTTTATAATATCCTATGCAGTATAAGGTAACTACTACTACTTTTGGAGGAGGGAACTGGGCATTGAACCCAAAGCCTTTGCACTTAGCTACATCCCCAGACTATTTTTATTTTTTATTTTGAGGCAGGGTCTCACTAAGTTGCTAAGTTGTCCAGACTGGGCTTGAACTTGTGTCTTCCTTACTCTGCCTCCTCAGAGTGCTAGAATTATAGGCATGCGCCACCACACTTAGCAAGGTAACTACTTCTTTATATAACTAAATAATGGCCTGAATCCTTATGATATCTTCTCCTAAATACTTTCTTTGTTTTCTGAAAAATCAACTTTGTTTCTATTACTACTTCAACTCATCCCTGGCTTTCAAAACTTAACCTAATGTCATGAACTAGAAGCTTGTCCCCTTGCACTGTTTGTTTATAGAGTGTATCTCAGTTCACTTGAGAAACAAGTAACAGCATGAATGGGGGAAAACAGTCTGCACAGTTTTCATTTTACTACAAATGGAAAGAGGACAATAGCATGTCTGCTAAGTGGGGCACCAGGATTTAACTTTCTCCAAGACTTACTTCATCTTTCATTATGCAAAGAATGCCACACCTAAGCAACACTATTTAGAGAAGATTCAAAGTCCCATGTAGGATCTGTATAGAACCTATTTTCCCGTAACTCCACTTTTTCAAAAACCCCTGTTTAGAAGTTAACTCAGACAGAACTTACTTTTGAGGCATAGGACAAATGTTCCCAGAGAACAGCATTGCTTTTTTGGATGGAATGTTACAAATTTTCCCCCAAAATTATATAAACTAAAGGCTCAACAGATGTATCTGTTATTACTTAACAAATATATAATAAATATTTACTTTTTTCTAGACACTATTCTAACTGGAAACCAATTTTTAAAACTCCATCGCCAAGAAGCTACCAAGCCAGTGTGGAGCCATCAGAGGCACTAATATGGCTCAGGTGGCTGCATCTGCTCACAAAAGCTGTAGCCCAAAAGGACTAAGCCAAAGATTTTATTGAACAAACAGACTGTTTGTAGGTCTGTTAAGAAATAATATTTTAAAAAAGAGTAAGTGGGGCCGGGGATTTAGAGCTCAATGGTTCCGCCGCCTGCCTTGCAAGCGCAAGGTCCTGAGTTTGATCCCCGGAACCAAAAAAAAAGAATAAGTGCTTCTTTTTCTTTTTTTTTTTTAGCCTAGGACCATGTTGTGCTCAAGTAAGCCACCTGCCTCAACCTCCCAAGTAGCTAGGACTACAGACACATGCCACTACATTTGGCCTTAGATTTAATGGAACTAATTTGCTATAAGTCAGGGCAGAATAATTTTTAAGATATACAGTGTTTAAATTCTGGTGGTTTAAAATTTCTTTGTTTCATTGGGTGTGGTACGCATGCCTATAATCCCAGCACTCAGGAGGCTGAGGCAGGAGGATTGCCGTGAGTTTGAGGCCAGCCGGGGCTACATAGTGAATTCAGGGCCAGCCTGAACTACAAAGGAGACCCTGCCTCAAAAAACCAAAACAACAACAAAAAATTTCCTTGCTTGTTCTACAGCCTTATATTATCTAAAATCTTTAAAGAATATAAAGACCTGGCACAAACAACAAAATGAATCAATTATTATACAGGTTGTTTAATACTTTTCTTACTTTCTTTTTGAATCATGTATTGATACTTATCTAAGATTAGTATATGTCTATGTATTTCTGTCCTAGAATAAAATAAAAATCAGGAAAACAGTATCAGCCAATTGTGTTAACTTAGCAATGTTACTGTAAAAGCCATAGTGCTTGCCCGTGTTCTGGCCTAGCTTTTGTGGGGCAGAGAAACCCTTGAAGGAAACAGGACCCAGGAAGTGCAGGAGCTTCCTGCAATTACATACTCACACAATTGAGACATTTTTTATGCCTTCATGAACATGCTACCTCCAAGTAGAGACCACTCTTTTCCAGAGTGACGCTGACCATCCCTCTCCACCCCTTGTAAACACCCGGGCAGCACACTCATATGCATTCAGTAATATTCTTGGATGTGAAAGGAATATAGGCTTTGGAATCAGACACCACTAAAGTCAAATCCCAGCTCTGTAACTCAAAAACTCAATACTAAATCCAAGCTGATTTGTGTTCAAGTATTCCTTCACTACAAGAGAATTTGTTTTTGTTTTTGTTTGGCCAAGAAAAATGATTCCAAAAGTCCAGAGACACTGGAAACCAAGTATTAAGGTACTCAGGATTCTCTTCTTTTTCACAGTGCTTCCTTAGGAAACAGGTACCTGCACAAAGGAAGCAGGAAGCACAGACGTGCATGTTTAGTTTATAATTATTTGGTAAACTCTGCAATTCACATGTTAGGCACTTTTCAGTTTAACATTATATATTGCCTTAAAAAATGTGGAACTGTCTCCCAACCCACTGTCATCTTCAGTTAAATATATTTTCTATCAAATTTTAAAAACAAAGACTTTCTTATTATAAATAGGATAAATGATAAATAATTTCCCATTCTGTATATAATCTAGCACAATTTACTGCAGCTCAAATTAGGTCTTTTTTTTTTTTTTTTTAAAAAGGAAGTCTATATTTATTTTTGATGAAGTTGCTTAGTTTAAAAAAATCTAGAAAATATTAGAATACTTTTAAGCAGTTTGTGATAAAATCATAGTGACCTACACAGAGCAGATAACCTTTGTAAGTAGGTAATATAAAAAAGACTGTCTCTTTTAAAACACAAAAGACTAAAAGGAATTCTATACTCTGGTACCTAATAACTGTGATATTTCACAACGATAAAAAGACAAAAAGCCTGGAATTTAGCTCAGTGGTACCGTGCCTGCCTTGCAAGCACAAGGTCCTGAGTTTGATCCCTGGTACCAGGAAAAAAAAGAAGACAAAGAAACAACTTCAAATGAAAAATCATTATTACTTGTCAAAAAATACACTAAAAAGGAATATTTCAGCCAAGAAACTAGAAGGGAGCTAAATGTGCATATCAAACGTAATCTGTTGCATACCTTGATCAATACAGTTCTCAACAAGAGCAAAAAGCTGAAGTGAGCGCTCCTCTAGCAACTGCTGGTGAATATTCACACATCTCAAAGTCCACCATGGCAAGCTCTAGAAGACAAACAATAGGTAAGCCGAAATGAACACATTTTGGCAAAAGTGTTTTGCATGAACTGAAACTAATTTTTAGAATTTGGTTTTTATATTCACAAAATTGATGCCTCAATAAGCTCATCCATCCTCTGCTATGTTTTCAATAATACCAAAACCACCTAAGGTCTTCAGTGAGAAGTAACACCTCACTTCTATTGTCTCAAAGCATTCTTTTCCGGTTTGGCCACTTGGGCTTTCTGATGCCATTTTGGACTTACCATCCCCTCCGTGAAAACATTTATTGTCCTTATCTGCTCTGCTCTGCCACTCTATCACCACCAAGACCCAGCACCAACTCCAATAGGAAGTCTCTCACAAGATCTCCCAGTGGGGGTGAGTTTCATTAGTTACAACTTCCAGCACATGACGCTCACTAAGCACATTCTAGTGCATTCCTGTAGTTCATCCCTCAGCTTCACTGCTGCTCACTATCTGTTCAATAAGATGAGAAATCAAATCTTACTCACCTTGGTACCCTCCTTAAAGCAAAAAAACTTCACACAAACTGCAAAGAAATATCTTGGATTCAGATATTCTCCCAAACTAGGAAGATCCCAGGCACACCTTTGTGACACTTCTGTGAAACATTCTCCTACTAGTGGACATAACACTGATCTCTCCCTCCTCTGAACTTCTGCCCACTGCCTACAAGGTGCCACCATCTGGACAACACTGATCTTCCAATTGTCTGGCTCTATCTGGACCATACATTTTTGAAGATAGAAACTGCATTATACACTGACTTGACTGATGCACAGAGCATATTGTAGCTTTTGCTTTAACTCTCTAATGCTTGTTCTTAGTTAATAAATAAATCCTTATTAGAAAAAAAAATAAAAAAAGAGAGACCTGGTGTGGTGGCTCATACTTGTAATCCCAGCACTCAGAAGGCTGAGGCAAGAGGCTTGCTATGAGCTCAAGGCCAGCCTGGCTACACAGTGAGACCGTGTCTCAAAAATACAAAACAAAAAAAGACCACGAAACAATAGGAAGCCAGTGTAAAATCATATAAAGGGAAGAGTCGTTTCTCTTCCACCATCCCTATGCTATAACCCTCCTCCAGAAAAATTCATGACAAAACCTTATATTCTTCTAGACCTTTCTCTATGTGTGCACATATCTCTACTGTATATGCATGTGCAAATAATAATAGTTTTGATAGGCTCATTAAAATATCAATATGAACATGTACTGAATTATTTTAAGTAAGAATAATTATGTTACCTTGCATTGTATTACACAAAGGTGTAAGAAATTAATTTTCCTTTTTCAACAATAATACCTACCGGGCCAGGGATTTAGCTCAGTGGTTCTGGAGCTTGCCTTGGAGGCTCAAGGTCCTGAGTTCAATCCCGTAACAAAAAAAAAAAATCAGCTAACAATAATACCTACTAATAGGACATCAAGCCTAATTAACAAAAGCATTTTTTGGGGGGATCGAAGCATTCTTTAACTTAATTTCTCCTTTGATTCAGGGGTCCTCCTCTAAACTGCCACACACCATAGTTGCTACAACGATGCAACCACAAATGAATTGTGACTCTATGACAAAATCCTTTCTAATTATTAATGCTATTTCTTCAGCCCATTTAAGGAAAGGTAGAATTTAAGTTTCAAATCATTTTTAATTTAATCCCCTGAGGTGTTACCTCATTTTCTTTCTTTCCTTATCACTAAGGCTTATGAAATCAGTCTGCACTTCAATTTTCTGTCCTTTATCTGCTGTCAGCAACAAGTGAGTCAGGTTTGGCAGCTTATTCTTTCCTTTTCTAGACATGGACTTTAGATGCATCCAGTTAAAAAGATTTCTCTTAAGGAAACATATTGCAAAGGCTGCTGAACTCTTAAAAATAAGATCTATATATTTTAACTCCTAAGCCAAAATCTTTATATAGGGGAGGAGAGTATGAAACAAAAAGAAGCACAGCATATTGTTATACTAGAAAATAGAAGGGTCTTTTCCTATTTGCCAAGAATTGAATAAAAGAAAAACTGAGGCATTAATAAAAAAGGAAAGTTGAAGCCATACTTTATAGACATTATTGTTATGTCCTGTTACAGTACTTATTACAGAATGGTCTGGTTGAGAAGGCACACTCAAGAACCTCTTAAATGGCAGGGAACAACAGTATACTTAGATAAATGTGTACCAACTCATTCCATGTAATACACAAAAAACCTGAAATTGAGAGAAACTGACTAGCATAAAATAGCATAGCTATGAAGTGGCTTGGTAGAGAGCTGTGGTCTGCTTTCAAAACCAAGATGCTTTTTATTTAATATGAATATATTATTGACTTTAGTGCACAGATTAGGGGGTAAGAATGAAGTACTTTCTTTACAACTCCTGAAAAATAACATTATACTGTAATAAACAACATGATATAGTTCATAGGACTCAGAACACTCAAAAATAAACACATAAGTGGTGGAGGGCTTGCCTGGCATGTTCCAGGCCCTAGGTTCAATCCTGAGCACTACAAACAGTAATAATAATTATTATTATTATTTAAAAGATAAAAAATAACTTGGATAAGTATATGATGCCTCTTTATCATTTTGTCCTCATTTATCAAAAAAGCCGTTTTGTGTGTGTGTGTGTTTTTGGTTCTTTTGGGTTTTTTTAAGACAGGGTCTCACTATGTAGTTCAAGCTGTCCTTGAACTCACTATGTAGCCTAGGCTGGCCTCGAACTCAGGGCAATCCTCCTGCCTCAGCCTCTCGAGTGCTGGATTACAGGCATGTACTAACACACCCAGCTAAAGCTGCTTTAAATAGCATCATTAAAAGAATGATATAGTAAAGACCCAAAAGAAAAAATTCATAACAGAAAGAATGCTTCAGGGCTGGGGATTTAGCTCAGTGGTGCTGCTGCCTGTCTCGCAAGCGCAAGATCCCAAGTTCAATCCCTAGTATCAAAAAAAAAAAGAATGTTTCAGTTGAAAGGTAAGATTTCAGTCCAGAATGATGTTTGCATAGTGATGAAAACAGGATTTTTAAGCAGAAATCAAACACTCTTCAGCATCTGCCAAGAAATCAAGGTAACTTGCTTCTCTAAGCCTACAAAGCTTTGCACCCACCTCCAGTGGTTCACATATTTACTAATTCTCCTAAATTGTTGGTGGTTATGTGTTTTATTTTTCAAATGATCTTAACATACCGATGATGAAAGTTTGCAACTAACAAAACCTAGAAGTATCTCGCTCATTAGTGACAACAGTCAGAATAGAAAGAAAACACTCCCATTTGACAGCCTCACACCTTGGTGATACTTTCTTTGGATAAAGTAAGGCTATGGAGCCACTGAACTCAGATCAACTCAGGAAAAATCTTATTCAAGCCATTATCACTAAAACACCAAAGACAAGCCTCATATCTGCTGCAACATACTAAAATCATCTATTAAAATCTTTCTTGTACAAATGGTTCCAAAACCTTTGGATTGGTTTTTTTTTTTTTGGTACCGGGAATCGAACTCAGGACCTTGTGCTTGCAAGGCAGGCACTGGAACCCCTGAGCTAAATCCCCAGCCCAAAACCTTTGGCTCTTGAGAAAATTTCCAATAGAGACATCACTTCCTTTCTTCTTTAAAACAAAGTCCGTGTCTAAACTTAAATGATTTAAGAAAGTGAACCCTACAGAGTAGACCATGCCCACGTTACCTCCCTCCTGAGTAGTTGAAAATGTAGGTATGTGCCACCACAACCAGTTAAAACATTGGATTTCTTAACACTTTTCAGCCAACACTTACAAATTGGGGCATTTCACATAACATTTAGACACCATTTCTCACAATACAGGTCTCTATTAAAGCAATCAGATGGAGCAGGGGTCAGCAAGTCATAGCCTGTGGGCCAAATCCAGCTCACCGCTTGCTTTCACACAGCCCAAGAGCTAAAAATTGTTTTCATATTTTGAAATCATTGAAAAAAATACTTCATGACATGTGAAAAGTACATGAAATATGAATTTCAGTATCCATAAACAGCGCTTTATTGGAACACAGTTCCATCCATCTGTTTACATAATGTCTCTGGCTGCTTTCACATCACCACGCAGCAGAGCTGGGTCTCTTCCCCGGGGCCTGTGCGCTGCACAGCTGACAACCTCCCCACCCTCCAAAGACCACGTTTGTGTCTCTTTTGTGGATCCGGTCACTCCTGCTACGTATCAGTTTCCTGTGAGTATGAGTTTTTCTGCTCAATAGTTTATAAGTGAAGAAACCGTCTAATACATAGGTAACATAACAAATGCTGTACTAAATCCAACCCACATAATGAAACAAGGCAGTTTGTGCACCAGGAGGCAGTCATTCAGACCCACTGCATTCTGGCTATTGCTCAGTATTTTTACACCGAATTTACAAAATTCTATCAATGATGCTTTTAAACCTATAGCTAATATTCTAAAAATGAACATCCTCATTCACACACACATAAAATTATTAAAGAGGCTAAATATAATTTCATTTCATACCAGATGAATCTCACAAGGGCAGAAAATTTTTTGCTTACTTTCATCAGATTTTAAAATTATATACCTTAAAGAAGACTTAGAAAACCAAATATACCTAGATATCGTCAGCATCACATGTACAGTCTGATGCTAAAAACACAAAAGTCACAGAATTTCACTGACGGTATGATGCTTACAGATCCTTTTTGTTCCTTACCTGAATAGCTGTCAGTTTATGTCTTATATTCACCAGGATAATGCGTGCAATCAGTAGCAGGATAGGTTTTGCAGTCAGACTGTAGACTGATTCACCGTCTAGAGTGAGCAGGCTCAGAACAACCATGTCTAGTTCTTTGACCTGAAAACAAGTTTGTAAGCTGAGATGACATAACTTACATGTTTAACATCTTTATATGTCTTACAATAATACATAGATTTTCCAGTTAATTCAGCAATGAGATAAGGTCATTAATGTACCACGCAGCAATACTGCAAATCCCTCAAGTTTGGCCGGCCCTGACACATGGTCACCCATGTGCTCAAACTCAAGAGAAACAGGGAGCACAACCAAAAGGTAAAACATCTTTCAAATCAGCCAGGGGTAGTGGTATGCACGGGTAGACTCAACTGCTGAGGAGGCTGAGGCAAGATCACCTGAACCGGGGAGTTCAAGACCAAACTGGGTAACACTGCAAGACCCTGTCTCAAAAAAATTAATTAAATTAAAAAGAGAAAACAGGGAACTCAAGAAAATCCTACACTCAAGAAGCATCATCACTTAATAGATTTACCTATAAATACCATCTCAATAAAAACTACCCCTATGTGAAAGGGAACACCTACATTTTGCTTATGCCTCACTAGCTGGCAAACATTATTACAAAGCCTTCTCCACTGCAATTCTCATCAAGCCAAACCACCAACGAGATCTTATACATCAAATGCTGAGAAGGCCAAGTAAACAGGTGGATGAGTGTCTTTGGGTCAGGCACCATGACACACAACTGTAATCCCAGCTACTCAGGAGACTGGACAGGAGAATTGCAAATTTGAGGCCAACTGAGGGCAATTTAGCAAGAATAAAAAGGGCTAAGAATGTAGCTCAGTGATACAGTGTCTCTAGGTTCAATCCCCAATACTGCAAAAATAAATGAATGATATTCTTTGAAAATCCTGTCCTCTGATGAACAGATTTTGCACAAAGACTAAAGCAACAGTGTTTATAAAAGGTGGGCTGCAGAACTTTAACAGGTCCCACAACAATCAGCAGAAATGCTTACCCATTAGGAATGTGAGTTCTCAAGTCACAGACAAAACAGTGTTCTTTCTCTGCACCTTACTAGTTTGAGTATAAGTCAATTTTTCAGCTAAACCCTGTTTCATCAATTGTATAAACTGAAATAACTGAACCTGTATGTCACATTCTTGTGAGGTAAAATTAAATAGTCCAAGTAATGTCAGTGCCTAACTCAATTATATATTTTCAATACTGAATATCTGAATACTGAATATCTTAAATATTGTTTAAAGAATTCAATAAAGGCAAGAAAGACATAGCTGTGCTTATATCCTTGGTGCTATTTTCATTATCACTGAGAGGTGTTAGTAGAGGAGTACCTAACATGAGTTACCAGACAAAAATGCAAATAAAGCATACTGTTCTCTCTGGGGGTAGAAGGTATTAAACACAGCTAGGCATAGTGGCACACAGCCAGTAACCCCAGCACTTGGGAGGCTGTGGCAAGAGGATCACCATGAGTTCCAGGCCAGCCTGGACTACATAATGAAACCCTTTCTTAAAGAAAATGAAACAAAGCAAAGCAAAAAAAGAAGACAGTAAACACATACACAAACTCTCTCTCTCTCTCTCTTCAATTAAGGAACTGTTGTGAAGTTATTAAAACTCCCCCCATTTTAGTAGGAAATAGACCCATAAAAGTTAAACTGGGTGTGGTAGCACATGCCTGTAGTCTGTGCTACTGTGGAGGCTGAATTGGGAGGATCTCTTTAACCCAGCAGTTTGAAGCCAGCAGGAATAACATAGCAAGACTCTATGTTAAAAAAAAAAAAAAGAAATCAAGCCAAGGCCAGGTTTTTGGACATCTATTCTTCAACAATGTTCTCCTATCATCCTACATTGCCTTCCCCACATATCTCTCTACTCTTCCTAATCCACAACAAGCCAGGGCTATGCTAAGCATTACAAAGGCCTTGAGGACAGGCCAGGACAACTTCTGCCCTTCTGACTGGCACAAGTACACTGGAGTGGTCTGAGTAACTGAGGGGCACACATGAGAAGACCCGATAGCAGAAGAACTTCACCATGAGTTCAGTCATGGATATGACGACTCTGAAGTACCCTGTAAGAACTCCAACCAGAGGAACTGCACACACAGGCGAATGCTGAGAACTCAAAAGAAAGATCAGTCCAATATGCCCTACTGGACCTTCATCAAATCACCTTGCAATTTAGGTGGACATAATCTTTATTTCCTCAAGTCCAAGCCAAACCAGTGATGCATAGGAAGATATACAAGCATGGCTTAAAGGAGAAGAATCTTTACTCTACTCAACTCTGAGATAAATACGTCTATCTGTTTTAGCACAAATTTCAGAACACTAGCTTCTTATTAAAATATAAATTTTAAAGCAAGTAATTTAATAGGCAGCAAATAAAAATTATACAAGGGCAGAGACCATGCTAACATTACCCCTGATACACAAAGACAAGGGCTGGTTAACCAAAACTCCTACTGTTCAACTCAAAGCTCTCTAGGAATAGTATTAACAAATAAGCCAAATAATAAATACAGTAACAATGAATGACCAAGTAAAGTTCTCTTCCCAGTGCTATCCATCACAGAAAAGTTAAGTGCTTGTCTGTACACCTCTGACATTGCAATATAACAACATTCCAAATAAGTTCTAAATGTGCTTCCAGAGGTTCTGGGAAATGATCCATTTTAAAGAGGATTAGTTATATTTTCAATAAAATGGACAAAGCAAAAGTTACTAACTCTCTTAAGAATAGGGCCAGGGATTTAGCTCAGCGGCACAGCGCCTGCCTGGCAAGCTCAAGGTCCTGAGTTCGATCCCTGGTACCAAAAAAATTTTTTAAAAGGAACAATCCCTCAGTCAAGACAGCAAATGACATATACATATTCATCTGCATAATAGGGGAAAAATTCAACATCTGGGAGCCAGAGACAAACTTAATATAAAACCTGAGTGTCATGAGAGGTGACCAACCATCAGAGTCGTCATGACCTTCAGTGTTATTTCTCTGGGGCTGGTTTGCAAGAGTGGTCAGAAAATACCTCGATAAATGCCAAGGTACATGTACATAAGTGCGTAAGTTAGAGGCAGCAAAAATTAATTTTGCTTTGGTGACTATATTCCATGACCATAAAATATATTTGCAAATATCTGTGTATTATAAGAACTAAGAAGGACAAATGAGAAAAGGAAAATTACCACAAAAAATTACTGATGTGCTACTTGCCAGTTTTAAAACTTCAACTTCCTCTGTCTTCTTTATTTATTTATTTACTTTTTTTTTTATTTGTTTTTTTGGTGCCAGGGATTGAACTTGGGTCCTTGCGCTTGTGCATAAATCCGCGGCCCAGAATTTATACTCTTTATTAATAACCTGAGGATTTTATTATTTATCTGTATGAAGACAGCGGAGGGCTGGGGATTTAGCTCAGTGGTTTTGCCACCTGCTGTGCAAGCGCAAGGACCTGAGTTCAATCCCTGGTACCAAAAAAGCAAATGAGTATAAATTGTAAAACTTTTTTTTTTTTTTTTGGTACCGGGGATAGAACTCAGGATCTTGCACTTGCAAGGCAGGCGGCAGATCCACTGAGCTAAATCCCCGGCTCTGTAAAACCTTTTTGACAAACAACCGGGCGTTACCAAGAAAAGCTCACCATGCAAATACCCTAGAACACAGCAACTTCACTCATGGATATTACTACAGCACATGCTGCAGCATGAATGTCTGTGTGCCCCAATACTCATGTGACAAACCCTCACCATCAAGGTGATGGTCTCAGGAAAGAAGGCCTTTGGCAGGTGCGTAGGTCACGAAGGTAGAACCCTCGTGCCTGTGACTGTCCTTATAAAAGAAACCCCAGAGAGCTGGCCAGGCCCTTGCTCCATGTGAGCAGTCAGGGATGCTGTCTCTGACGAAGTGGGCTCTCACCCAACCCACATCTGCTGACACCTTGACTGTGCTCTCTAGCTCCACAACCACAAGAAATACCTTTCTGTTGTTTATTGGATACCCAGTTTATGGCATTTTGTTAGAGTAGCCCAAATGGCCTAAGAGAGAACTGCCAATTCAGTCTGTAAGGATTTATAAGTTTGCTGAAATACTGCTCCCTTCAGCCTTCAAGGTGGCCAAGTATAGCCTAGGCAACAATAAAAACAGCTTGTTCCATTTAGCACACACATACAAAAAATACTATCATTTTTAAAGAATGCTACACTTTCAAAGACTTGCAAGTGATTTCCAGAAGATGTGTTCCTAAAAGTACTGCAGGTAAGAGTAAAAAGTTGAAACAGCATATATGCCAATCAAGAGTAGAATTTTTTGGTATAGTGATAACTGTAACAGTATACAACAGAAAAAATGGATAATGGTATAATTCCAAAAGTATACCATGAGCGAAGGAAATAAGAATATATACAACTGTCTACACTAAATAATACATTTTTTTAGTGATGTATGCTTACACTATTGATATTATAAAAATAAGGAATAGAATTGACTAGCATAAAATTCCTAAGAGTGGATCATGAGAGCAGGGACCAGGGAGGTGATCAGGAAGCACCCACAAAGGAGTTGAAAGGCAATTCCCTGATCTTTTTGAAGTCAGAACACATGTAGAGGATAGAATGTAGCTCACTGGTAGAGCACTAGCCTTGCATGCCTGAGGCCCTGGGTGTAATCCCCTACACAGCAATGAAAAATAAGAAGAGGCACAGTGACACACCCCTTTAAGTGTAGCACCCTGGGGGCTGAGTCAGGAGGACTACATGTTGAAGCCCAGCTTGGGCACCACAGAAACTCAGCAAAACCTTGTCTCAAAATAAAAAATTAAAAGGGTTGGAGGGTAGCTGGTGTGCATCCCCAGTACCAACCCCCCCCAAAAAAAAAAAACAGAAGAAGAAGAAAGTTTGATTTGTACTGCACACCAGGGAAATAGGTAAGGCGGCTTCGCCAGAACAGAGTAATTAATTCAGAGGCCCTCACCAGCCCAGGTCCCACAGAGGCACTGAAATGGTACCAACATTTGGGGAAGAGCACTCAAAAGCTATGTTCTACAACATGGGTAAGGTTCTTTCTCTCTCTCAGGCTCGGTGGACGCAAGGACCCAAGTTCAATCCTCAGTACCAAAAACAAACAAAACAAACATCAAGCTCGGTGGTGAGTACACAGGAGACTTACTCTGCACACTGCGTATGCATCACATGCACTTCAGAATGTTTGAGGTAGTTCCAATAAGAAAAATTAAAATCAAGCTCTTAGCCAAAGTTTCCCACAGTCTGGCTTTTCCCCACCAAGTCTCATCTTCTGCCGCTCACTGAAGCTCACAGCCTCCTTTTCCCACCAACCTCATGCCTTTTCCCCCTCTAAATATCAGCTCATATGACCATACCTAGAAAGCATTTCTTCCCTTTCTCTCCCCTACCTAATCACTGCTGAGGTTCCAGCTCAAGGTCCACTCCCAACTAAAAGGTGTTCTTTAACAAAGTCTAGTTTCCACCAATCTCTTCATTAATGCCAACATCTCTTGTGGTGGGAACTTCTCAGGTAACCCATTGCTGCATTGCTCTGAATTGTCTCCTGAATTTACAGGTGCTTTTATACTCCTACAGCAGAAAATGTGGATTCCAATCCCCCAGCCATAAGACCCTGACAAGTTTCTTTCACAGCTCTGAGGTTGCAGTCTTCTCATTAATAGAATATTTCAAATCTGTAAGGTCCAAAATGATACGACACATGTGAATTAAGCACCATTCGAACCATACATCAGGGCTGGGGATGTACTTCAGTGGCAGAGCACTTGCCTAACACATGTGAGGCCTTGGGTTCAATCTCCAGCACTGCCAAAAACAATCACTCAAACAAAAATAAAAAACAAAAAATGACATAAGTGCTCCACAAATACTTATAACTATGACTACTAGGTCAATTTCTAACCTACAACAAAGGCCCAGGAGAAACCAAACACTGTTTCATACACAGAAAGAGAAGGGGAGAAATGCTCTATATAAATAAATTTCTAGATAACTGAAAATTTCTCTTTAAGTGCCATAATTTTGGAGGAGTTTTTTTGGCAGTACTGGAGAGCAAACTCAGGACTTTGCACTTGCAAGGCAGGCACGATGCCACTGAGCTAAATCCCCAGCCCATTTTTTCCATTTTTTTGTTTTGTTTTGGTACCAGGGATCAAACACAGGACCTTGTGCTTACCAGGTAGGCGTGGCTCCACTGAGCTACATCCTCAGTCCTATTTTTTCCATTTTGAATGAAAAGTAGAAATTATAAATTCTCTTCTTACATACAGATTCAAAAGACTAATTTTTCAACAATGACATAGGGTCAGCATTATAAATTTCAATTACTCTATTGCAATATAAATAATGACACACTAAGCTGACGTATACAGAGCTAACTTCAAGGATTTTCAGATCATGCCTGCTTTTCTACTTCTCTTTTTCAATCTACCTTCAGATTTTTTTTTTTTTTTTTTGTACCGGGGGATCGAACTCAGGACCTTGCGCTTGCGAGGCAGGCGACAGTACCACTGAGCTAAATCGGCGGCTTACCTTCGGATTTTTAGCACCTATTTTAATAACTCCATTCCACATTTACTTTCCATTTCTAACTCTGAGAAACTACCTAACAGTAAACAGCAGGTCTTCTTTTTGCATCAGCTTTAAATATTGGGGGAAAAGGAGTTCTTTTATTGGGGGGGTGGATTTTTTTTGGTTTTTTGAGACTATTTCTTGTTTTATAGTTCGGGTTGGCCTTGAACTGAGTATGTAACCTAGGCTGGCCTCAAACTCACAGAGATTCTCCTGCCTCTGCCTTCTGAGTGCTGGGATTACAGGTGTGCACTACCATGCCTGGCTTTTTTGTGTGTGTTTTGAGATACAGTCTCAGTATGTACTCCAGGTGAGCCTTGCTCTGTAACCGAGGCTGGCCTCAAACTCACAATACCCCTGCCTCAGCCTCCTGAGGGCTAAGATTATAAATGTGTGCCACAACACTCAGCACTAAGGGACATTGTTTCTAGGCTGAGCTATTAATAGCTATGTTCAAGCTTACCAAGTGGCTGGATAAATCAAAGTTTCTATATTTTGTTCATAGGTCATCTCATATTCACCAAGCCCTATGCTCGAGTGTTCAAAAAATTCCTGAGGCTAGGTACATAGCTCAGTGGTAGAGTGCTTGCCTAGCATGTATGAGGCCCTGGGTTCAATGCCTGGCACCAAACAAAAAATTCCTGACTCCAACTGCAACTTTGACTAATGAACTGATGTAAGACAGTATTCTCCTCACATGTGGAAAATAACAGTTATCACTGCAGAGCACCTCTATGCCAGGGCTTTTACATATTTGTAATACAGTGGACCCTGGAGTGAGGACTGGCCTGACATATGAACAACTTGGTAATGATCAGAATTTTAGGTGTTTTGTTTTTGCTGTACAGGGATCAAACTCAGGACCTTGCACTTGCCAAGCAGGTGTGGTGCCACTGAGCTAAATACCCAGTCCCAGAATTTTAGTTCTAACTTATGAACAAAGTCTTGAGTTACGACTCTAATGCCAGCTGCTTGTGCTTCCACATGGTCTCAGAGACAGATTTAACCCTTAAAGACTTCTGAAAAGAACATTACAACATCCTTTCCTGTGTGAGGTAAATTGAGAAATCCTGGGCCAAGGTCTCTCTAAGGACACTGAGAGCTGCCTGTACACAGGAGAGAGACTCTGAAGGCTGTGTAGAGGAGCCTGAGCCTTCAATTAACCAACCTGAGTTACAACCAGTCGTCCGGAATGAACAGAGTTCGTAAGTCAAGGGTCCACTATATAAAGGAAAGTACTCCTGGAAACCATTCTTAAGCACAGCAGCAAAACTTACAAAACTTATCTCAACAAAATTAAAGCAACTTCCAGATTTGTTGCTTTTCCCAAAAAGCTTTACATAACTGTGGTGCTGTAAGAAACGAGATGACTTGGGCTGGGGGTTTAGCTCAGTGGTTCCAGCGCCTGCCTCGCAAGCGCAAATCGCAAGGACCTGAGTTCGATCCCCAGTACCAAAAAAAAAAAAAAAAGAAAAAGAAACGAGATGATTGGTATAGCTGCTGCCTGTGCTTTGATAAAAAGAGCCGCTAACAGAGCTCCATAAAATGGGAATGTCTGAAGAGGAGCTTGAGACTGACAATGGATTAAAAATCCAATCAACAAATAAGCATTCTTACTAGTTTTGTGCTAGCCACAAAGTCATGCTGCTTTCCTACCTACTATTAACTCCAATTTATAAAGACCTCTTTATAAAGAATAAATAATCACAGGCCGGGGATTTAGCTCAGTGGTTCTGCCGCCTGCCTCGCAAGCCAAGGACCCGAGTTCGATCCCTGGTACCAAAAAAAAGAATAAATAATCACTAGGGACTACGGCCAGGGATTTAGCTCAGTGGTTGCGGTGCCTGCCTTGCAAGCTCAAGGTCGGGAGTTCAATCCCCCGGTACCAAAAACAACAACAACAACAACAAAAAGAATAAATAATCACTACACCGCACATTTTCAAGAAGCATACCTTACTAAATTGCTGGAACAGAACAGATGGCAAAAAATCTCGAGGGTGCAAGTCCACAAGAGGCCCCGTCCAGTTACTCTGAACAAAAAGCTGCAAACTGCTCACACCAAGCAGGAATATCAGCTGCTGTCTGCATGTAAGAATGAGAAGAGAAACAAATATGAACTACTGTCACCACACTATCTCAACAAACTAATTCCCTGCAGTTTTATTACCCACTTACTTAGCAGTTTACCCCTAGTGTCACTCAGACAGGGAGTTTGTTTACGTACTATCCCGAGTGTCATTTAGGCAGGTGTTGAACGTCTTAAGATATACCATACACAGAAAAATTATCGAATAAAATCATTTTTATATTTACTGTCCTATTATTTTATAAAGATTAACAAATAATGAAATTTTTAGTCATCCTGTATTTAAATAATTGGACTGGTAAGTGGTTAAGAAAAATCAGCCAGGGGTGGTAGCACTTGGGATACTAAGGCAAAAGGATTGCAACAACTTCCAAAGCCAGCCTGGGCTACATGGCCAGGCCCTGTCTCTAAAAAAAAAAAAAAAAAAAATTTATAGAGACAATCCTAGGGCCAGGGATTCAGCTCAACGGCACACCACCTACCTGGCAAGCATGAAATCCTGAGTTTGATCCCCTATCCTCCTCCCCCCCAAAAAAGAGACAATCCTAGAGCACAACCCAAAAACAGTTACGAAAAAAACAATTTATATCTGCAATGTCCAACATATTACAACCATGCACCACATGTGGCTCTTAAATTTAAGCTAAATAAAATTTAAACTGCAAACCTCAGTCCCACCATCCATATTTCAAGTAGTCTGTAGCCAAATGTGGGGGTGGCTACAATACTGAACAAAGCAGATGCAGAACATTCCCATCATCACAGAGAATCCTCCTTCACAGTCCTAATTTAGACCCAGATCAGGCACTGTAACTTTTTCTGCATCCTATTTAACAGAGCTAACACTTCCAAAAGGTGTAAGAAAAACTAATTTTATACAAACTGACAATAAAAAGTTGTTTCTAACATTTTGGTGATTCTGTACACAGCACTAAGTGCTGGAACAAAAAACCTCCTAGACATTTGACTGAAAACTCAAGACTTTTCCACCTGCTTTAGGTTGAGACATGAGAAGACACACTTTTTCTTTTTTTTTTTGGAACCGGGGATTGAACTCAGGACCTTGCACTTGCAAGGCAGGTGGTGGAACCACTGAGCTAAATCCCCGGCCCCAAGACACACTTTTTCTACAAAGGAACAGCTATAAAAAATTTTAGGCCCTGTATTTCATGTGGGTTTTTTTTCCCAAAGTTTTAAAAATGTAAAAACCATTCTTAGCCACTTGGTATAGCACCTGTAATTTGTCAAACTCTAAATGAAGACATAAATGAAGGATTTAACTCCTGAAAATAACAGCTGGGGAATCATGAAATTTCATTCAAAGAGAAAGTGAGAAGCAGTCACTTTTCCCTTCCCAGATCCTCTCAGCCCTTCCTGAAAAGGTAAATTCTTTAAGGAAGAAACCAAACAAACACACAAGCCTATGGTAACCAGACTATAAGGCTCTGGATGCTGCACAACTGACAGCAGAGCAAAGAGTAAGCAGCACTTGAGAAAATGGGTGACAAAAGAACCTACCTGTAGTTACATGTTAGGAAATTTGCAGAAAGCAGGTATGCAGCAAGATCTTAAAGCCTTACTATAATTTTCTAAAAAAAAAAAATCCTTAAGGTATACTAAGAATAAGCTTAATTTTCAACTGCCCTAAAATGAGTCAAATGAAGTGTCCCTTTTCAAACTTGAATTCTAGTCTAATAGTGAATGATGCATGTGCATTTGTGTGTGTGTCTTACTGACTACCACAAGGCCAGCTGCTACTATGGTGCATACATATCAGAGAGCAAAATAAGAATCAAGAAAGGGTAGGTGCAGCAGTACATGCCTGTAATCTCAGCACTTGAGGGGCTGAGGCAGGCGGGTTGTAAGTTCAAGTCCCACCTAGGCAACTTGCAGTGACCCTCTTTCAAAAATAAAAAACAAAAACTGCTAAGAGTGTAGCTCCATGGTAGAGCAAACTTGGGTTTGATTCCCAGTACCACTGAATAATTAATAAGTACATAAATAAATAAAATTTTTAAAAATGAGATAGGGCTGGGGATAAACCCTTAGCCAACCTTATCAAAAAATGGAAAGAAAAGGCTCAAATTCATGCAATCAAGAATGAAAAAGGTGAAGTCACAACAGATCCAGCAGAAATCCAGAGGATCATCAATACCTACTTCGAGAACCTGTACTCCAATAAAATGGAAAACACAGAAGCAATGGACAGATTCCTAGATACATATGAATTACCAAAGTTAAATGAAGAAGATATAGAAATTCTAAACAGCCCAATTACAATAAG